CGGGGAAGTACAGTAAAGCTTCGCTAATCCGAATCAATTAAAACCAGCTCAATTCAGATTATGGAAGCATGCGGATTATTGAAGTCATATTTAAATATTATCAAAAAAAGTCTTATAAATACTTATTTATAGATTTATTGTACTAGATAATATATGCAATACATGTTTTATACAGTTTATTTAAAAAAATCAAACAACTTTGTTTGTCGCATGCAGTCTTGTTTAAATTTCATGGCGCGTTGCCGTAGAATTCTAAGGGTTGTTACGGTGTTTAAATCGACTGCATTCTCCTCCGCCCATTGAATACATGTACTGAAGCTTTTAATAGCATTCTCATGTTTTACTTTTAATTCGTTTTCGTTTGTACCAGCGTCTTCATGGAGAGAACTGCCGTCCCTGCCGTCACTATCCAGCGAAACATGATCTTTATCACCAACAATCCAATCGTTAACTTCTGATTGCGAAGGATGATGATCATTGTTTATTTGCTGGAGCATAGCACCGATTTCTTTTAATTCTTGTTTCCTCATCTGATTGTCCAAATACATTTCTCCAACAAATTGCTATTAAATTAGCCGATAGTTTGTCCCAAGCATTGGCAAGCATGAACACAGCATCCTTAATAGAAATATTCTTCAGTGCTTTGGAAATATCGTCTTCCTCTATAGATAGAACATGTTCTAAGAGACTTTTCCGGTAATACACTTTCGTTAAACGAATTGCATTTTGATCCATAGGTTGGATAAGTGGAATACAATTGGGTGGCAGAAACATTGTTATAATTTCACCATCATCGCTTATTAATTTGGTTTCCGATGCGTGACTTGGCGCATTGTCGATTAACAAAATTGCTTTACCACTCAGATTGTTTTCTGCTTGAAATTTTCTAATTTGTTTAACAAAAGACTCGTGAAACCATTTTACAAAAAGAGCTGAAGTCATCCAAGCATTTTTTGTCGAGAAATATTCAACTGGAAGGCAGGAGACAGTTTTTAAAAGCTCTCGGATTTTTTGCTTTTCCGATAACCAACATTTTAAGTTTATGTGTGCCATGTCCGTTTGTACAAGCAAGAAAAGTTACTCTTTCCTTTGATGTTTTTCTCCCTGGAGCAGTTCTTTCTCCGGCATGCACTAACGTACGATCGGGAAGTAGTTTCCAGAATAATGCAGATTCATCTGCGTTGTATATTTGGCTGGGTAATACATTCAGCTGTCATTTTTTTAGTGAATTTTCGTAAAAACGGTTGCACTACAGATGAGTCGCTAGAGAGTTTCTCTCCAACCACTTTTAATTGACGAATACTACGTCTATTTTTAAATCGACTGATCCATCCTCTGCTTGCAATAAACGTTTTGTCTTTATAACATTTAGTAAAAATTTTCAGAGCTTTTTCTCTTAAAAAGTTAGTTGTGACTGTAGCATGTNAACAGATACAAATAAATAAATTGATGATTGTTTCAGCCAAAGCGATGAATTGGACAAAAAGATATAAATAATTTATGTAAATGAATTGGACTTAAGAAATATTTCAAGATAAATCATTCCATAAATACAAAAGCTTGTAGCTTAAATGTTAACTTGCTAATATAATTTCTCTTATACAGGGTGAGTTGTTAGTATACTGGCTGTCGATAGTTACTAAACCATTTGAAAAACAAAAAAATATTTTATACAAAAGTTGTTAGACAACACTCTGTATATTTTATCATATTATGAATACAACTAAATTTGTTTATACAACCGTATATGTTACTATTTCACAGCGTTCATAGTTTCTGAGATATTCAATTGTTCTTCCAAAATGTTCTTGTTACAAGATCTTTTTAAAAACGATGTAAAAACTATATTTTTTCCGATTTTGCCTTGAAACTACGTCAGACAAAAGTCAAAGCCAGTAGGTTGATAATAGTATTCAAAGATATTAGATACAATATACAGGATGTTTAAAAAGTTCAGTTACTTTTCATGTTTTTCAAATGGCTTTTTCTTAAGTTTTTTAAATAGAACAGACTGTATATTGTATGCTAGTTGAATTGCTCATCAAGTTCCCTTTAATTAATGATAAGTATGTCATATGTCTGACTTTAATAGCTTTCCTAATATTCAAGGTCTGTTGAGTAAACATACTGTATAAGGTTATCCAACTCCATATAAACTGTTGTTATGCACGTATCCCCCCGCAAAGGCATTGCTGTGACGTCATTGGAAGAATCAACATTTCTATGTTTTTATTCATGCAGTGTATTTCACTTAACACGTTCGCTGCCCAGCGATACCGTTAACCACGGTTTACTCGTAGTGGGCACCAAACGTGTTAAGAAGCAATATACAAAATAAAATAAAATAAAATTAAAAAAATATTAAAAATAAAGCGAAATATTAACGGTTATAATTTTATTATTGTTAGGTTATCCAACTTGACTCGGTTACCAATGGTGATTAAGATCCAAATCTGTACCTGAGAGCTAAAGGGGTGTAAGTCCACTTTTAACAAAAATGTACTAATGCTCAAATAAGAATGCTCTAAAACCCAGTATTTCATTTNATTTATCGTTAAATCCAAAAGTTAATAAAACGATTTGTTAATTTCATAGAAAAAATATACCACTTTACTTGTTATTTTGAACCAGATAATCGATGGTCAAAATTGGAAAAGAATTTCGATCGATTTTAACAGATACAAATAAATAAATTGATGATTGTTTCAGCCAAAGCGATGAATTGGACAAAAAGATATAAATAATTTATGTAAATG